CAATCGAAAAGCTCTTATCTATATAGAACACGAATATAATCTAACCGATAAAATAGTACAACAAACGGAGATCTACAAAGAAATATATATATATATATATATATAATATATATATATATATATATATATATATATATATATATATATATATATATATATATATATATATAATATAAATATATATAATATATATAATATAATAATATATATATATATATAATATATATAATATATAATATATATATATATATAATATCATAATATATATATATATATAATATATATTAATATATATATATATATATATATATATATTAATATATATATTATGTATATTATGTATATTATATATATTATATATATTATATATATATATATATATATATATATATATATATATATATATATATATATATTCCTTTTTTCATTGATAAAATCAACACAAGAGATCGTGCATTCTACCTCACCTGCCGATGGAAAAAGTGATTCCTAAGTGCCTTGCTTTGTGACCCTCATCTGATGTCATTATTATACATGTGACCACCCACCGAGGGACAATATTGCAAACATATTGACCTGATCAGCATTTGCACATCCCTCGTGCAAACAGTATGCACACACTAAATTACTTAATAAACTTTTGCCATACACCAACTTTTCACTCCAGTGCTTCATTTACACTAATAAATTACAAAAAACTATTGTGAATTATTACATAAGATTGCTTACCTTCTAATTAATGGAGAATGGTGGTTTTATATTTGGTGGAACAGTTGAGAACATTCCCTTATCATTATCCTTATACTAATTACTGAAGTATATTTTCATCTCTAGTCATGTTTTCAAGCTGAAATCATCCAGTTTCCCAAAGTTTCAGCCTAGAAAGGAGGAAATGGAGATACAAGATATTAAGATACAAGATATAATCAACTGCAAAATATTATCCTGCACAGGCTGAAAACCAAAGATCCTGCCATACATAGGATAAGATGCTAAAATAATATACACAGCAATGAAGTGTGTGTGTGATCAAATGTAAATTAAATTATATATATCTACCAATTCGTAGGTAGCTTTCCGAATTAGGATTCTGGAGAAATATTGGAATGTTAATTAAATATCTGGTATTGTGAAATTATCAATTTTCATTCGTACTCTTTCAGTGTGTGTTTGATGGTTAAGGTTCAAACAAATAAACGTGCAAGACATCAATGGTCATATAGCACTATGGTAAAATATTGGGGTAAAGGGGGTTTGAATGAGCAATCTGTGTTTAAATAAGATGTGGAGTCTATTCACTAACAGTTATAAAAAACACTCTTCACTGGAACTTTTTTGGCTCCAAATGGGTAAGAAGACAACACAAATAACAGATGCTAGTTAAGAAAAATGTTGGACCTCATCATTACCCCAGAAACACCTTGGATTATACCAGGTCCATTATGAAACATTTTATCTTTATTAAAAGTATTCTCAATACCAATAAAATCTTAAAATTTAGAATGGAAACATATTAGGATGTAATGATTGTTCACAAACTGCAATATACCCAACATACATATTTCTTTGATCATTTCCAAGCTGAATATTTTGCTATTTTAGTGCAGATCTTTGTTTTCCATTTACTATTTTTTTCTTTACACCTTGTTATATATAAAATAAAGTGTGTCCACAATGTTTATCAGAATCAAAATAGCTGAATGCATTTGACAAAGTCTGGGCATTCAACATAGAAAATTATTCTGGGCATAGATATTAGAAAACTAGAAGAATTTCCAATTTTCACTTGAGTGCAGCAATAACTATTGAGACATTAATACTATACACATGAATAACTACTGAATTAATACATATTGTACAATCTCTACCAACTGCATCCATATTCTGCAAACAATGAAATTACACTTCATCAGAATCATAACCAATTCATAATTCATGAGAAATAAAAGTCATAAACACTTAATGAGATAATCTAATACACTTCATACGAAACACCAGAAATAAAAGTCGTAAACAATTCAGAATTTCTATAAAGGTAACTCCTATACAAAATGAAATTACTACAATTATAACAAAAGGCTACATGTATCATCATGACCATTTTATACTGTACATTAACTTGTAACAAATCTTTTAGTTTTTACTTAAAATTACTTAAGTTATTCTGGTTATCACCACACCCAGGATATATCACTTAATGTATATTTAATGGAATGTTAATAGTGGAAATATGCATAATCTGACTTGCATACCATTACCACTCTTAATGCAACACAACACCAACAATTGACTAAATTATCATGAAAGACATTCAGGGTGGTAAATGTATATGCACTCTGAGTATCACAAAACTATATTTCAGTTTTCTATAGACCTGAAATTTGCCCTGCAATGAGCTGCAAATTAAGTATAATTCAATTATCTTTATCAATAGATTACTTGTAATGAGTATTACTGATCAGTTTCCTAGTATTGGCTAATACTTTAAATCATGTAAACATATTATAGCTTTTACAAGTTACTCCCAAAAATATCTCAAGCTACTTTACTAAAAATATTTCCTTTTCACATCATACAAGCAAGTAGACAAAAATGTATTTCTTTTTTGTTAGGAACTCTTCAGCATATCTTTACACTCTGCTGGTACATTCATATTATCATTTGGATGGAAATTGAAATACTTTAATTACAAAAAATACATATGAATACCACTATTCAGCAATATATAAATAACTAAATAGTACTTTGTCATATTAGTCAGTTTACAAACAAAATATATCAGATACAAATAAAAGGCGCAATTTTGGATTACTTTCATTTATTAATCACATACAAGTTCAGTTAACAATCAAACCTTATAATTTATTACACAACAGGAAGTAGATTATTTCTGAAGCTGTATATTACCAAGCCATTTAACACATCGCTTAAAAATAATCACTCGTGTATATGAAAGTATCATAAATACTGCACGAAAACTGGAATGCAACATCCACTGTTTATTTTTACACACAGAATACAAACTGATAACAATGGACATCTGATAATCTACCTCTGAATAAAGAAGAAAAGGAAAAACTTTGAGCTGTTGTGATTCTGAAATAATTTTTCTGACATAAAAATCAATTACTCCAAGTTACATAAGGGAAAAAAATTATATACGTACATACATACATACATATATATATATATATATATATATATATATATATATATATATATAATATATATATATATATTATGTATGTATGCATGTATGTATGTGCACATACATAAACTTACACACCAATAAACAAATAAATACAAAAGTACTAACATTACCGCTTTTCTCAAATGCTCTTTTAAATAGGTAATATGTTTGTGTATTTTTCTTTTTTGTTTGTTTGTTTCTTCACTCGACAGATTCTTTTTTCATGGTTTAACCCTAAATGCCTTACACATGAACAAACAATCATTAATTACCAAAATATAGATGCAATATGTTCATGATATGCATTTAAGGTTACATTCTGGAACAACAGACGCAGAGGCAATACCTCTCCCTCTCTTGGGAATTTACACGCACATACACACATCCAGTAAAATTAAGGAACCTCTGCCGAGTAAAAAATTAGAAAAAAAAAGGGTTACTATGAACAGCACGTTCTCATAAAAGCTCTCGTTGTGATCCGTCTGCGTTCGCAACCAAACTGAAGTCACGAAAGGAATATTTTTACTGGATCACCAAACTGCAAAGGCTTTTTTACCTTGCAGTGTCCAACTTCCTTATTGCACTATAAATTATACTCTGTTCTTGAGAGTTGTTTTCCTGGCTAATTGTTTACCTATTTAAATAGTACATAAGCAATACTGCATGTGGTTATTTGCCAGTTTAATGCACTATTGCTGTTATTTTTAATGATAATCTTAATCTGGTGTACTGTACACATAATGTCATTTAATACTATAATTTTCTACTTTAACCTTCAGAGGGATCAATGTCTGCACTATGTGAAGTATAACTTTTTTTTTTTATAAAAATATTAACAAATTACTTTTTCTTTAGTTATGTGACATGTATTTTCTGTTTATGATGTATGCATGTGACTGTGTGTGTTTGCATTTTTGTTTACTTGTGTATTTTTTTTGTGCAGGAGCATGTGTGTGTGTATGTATATGCATGTGTGTGTGTGTGTGTGTGCATATTCACAATCATACACTAAAAAATACACACTGTGGAAAGTACCAAAGAAACGAAGAAAAGAAAGAAAAAAGTGTGCTAAAGCTGAATAAACCATACACTAATTAACCAAAATGAACCTGCTGAAAAAGCAACATAACTCAAATTTCATACACAAAATTGACATTCTGATCCATTCAAATTCACCCGGGTACCTTGCTAGGAACTGGAGAAATATTTGGGGTAATTTTCCTCACTGGATTCATCACTGACATAACAAATGCACAAATGTTTTCAACAAACTCTTCTCATATGTCAATCCTATGTCCCTCTCCCTAAAAAGTAATGCATATCGGCATTCTCTTTCCATAAGCACCATTCAACAGAATTCCAAATTCATTCAATTTTTCTTTACGATTCTTTACTAACATGGAATGGGAGTCAACACTGGAGTAAATGAAGATCTAAGACTTTTTATCATATTAAACACTGCTCACTACATGTCCCTTCTCCGAAGTTCACTCTCATGACTTGTGCTTTGTTGGTGCTATGACTTTGTATGGCAAAACTCCCTCCTTCTTCGAGGGATTACGAATAACTTATGACTAAATCGCTAATCACATGGGCATCAACAAGATTAACCATTTATAAATGGCATTCCAAATCAATCGGCTGTTTACGGTGTCCATTTGGGAACACAGTCGCAAACAATCAGGGAAATGTTGGGGACTCGTTAGGTAGGCATCCGCAGGGGCAATACATACAGTCCTGGCCTGAGCCTTAATGTCAGGATGGATAAAAACAAAACTACTGTTTAATAAAAGAATTTGCTATCTAAATACACTACTGTGCTTAATAGAAAAAAAAAAAAAAAAAAGAATGCTGAAGTAGGATCTTTTTCTATGGGGAAAAACAACAACTTTACAAACAATATGCAGCCAAAATTTCAACTGCAATACCCATACTGGTGGAAGAACTGTAACTTGAGGGAAATGAGAGCAATATCTTTAAACAATACTTGGCTTTTCATAACAACAGTTGGAACCCTCTAGAGCAACAGCATTTCTTTTGAGATTTAAAAAAATCAAGATTTCCACATCCATCCTTGCTACTAAGGCATTGGCTGAAAATACATAAACCGTTAAGACAACCATATAAAATATAACTGACATTTTCCTATGCTTCCATCGGCCACTAAAGATAAAACCCCAGCCTGAGCCTTAGACATCAAGTAAAATCAACAGTGTCATGGGAGACATCAATATAACCACAATATCAGCAACAACTGATCTATCTCTTCCACTATCCCCACTGTTCTTATGAAGCTCCGCCAGGCATGAGTTTTTCTAATGCAGCTTGGACGCCCTTCTCTTGGTATTCCTCTCTTGAGATCCAGAAGTTGTCTCTGTCCTTCATGACATCGGCGAGGACTGCCCCTCCAATGAAGACCATGTCCTTCCTCCTTGGGGGGTCCTCAATGCGGATCTTTAGCTTGGACAGTCTCTCCACGTCACCCTGGTACGAGGAAATGTTTAAGGCTTGCGTTATAAGATGAATTAAACCCTATGACCAGCAAATATTCAAGCCTGTCTATTCCCCTGGCACAAGAAAGTCACACGAATGCCATGATTTTCCACTCCACAATGGCGAATTTTGGTTCCTGATATTGCAAGAGCTATATTTTACATATAAAATGTATATTTCACAATCATAAATCTAATACATAGAGCATCACAATCATAAATCTAATACATAGAGCATCACAATCATAAATCTAATACATAGAGCATCACAATCATAAATCTAATACATAGAGCATCAATGGAACAGAAAGCTGCAAAAGTTATCACAGTTCCCTCTTGTGTATGAACGAAAATGGAGACTCATAGTTATAAAACAAGAGATGTTACATAATACAATGGTGTGTGGAGGAGAAATATTGGAGGAAAAGATGGGGCATTTGGCTTGATATAATGATAATTCACATTAACTAAATTCCACTCACTCGAAAGTATGAATGTATGATTGGCTCCAGTTGTACGTGTGACTGGATGAAACTTGACAAACAGTACCAGATATATTAGTGAACACTACAAACATCTCACTGATAATGAAAAAGTCAAAGGAAAAACTCTGCCAGCTTCTGACAACAAAGAGACGACAGGCCTTGTGGGATTGTGGTGAACATGCTTGACTGTATACTATGCAGAACTCCACCCTCAAGGTAAGTAAGACTATAAGGGGTTCAATACAGGAAAAACTATGAGTGCTACCATATCCCTTTCCTGCCCTTTTATATCAACAACTTGGCAACAACCAGACAGAAAAGTAACACACACGCACCCTAGTGTTGCTATAGAAACCACACTACAAGATATTACACAGCAAAATCTATAATATACAGAGGAAAATCATCACTGCACCAAAGGAAGATGAAATCCCTACCTTTAAGACTCTCTCCAGGTACAGCTGCTTCAACTCCCTTTCCAGACGTGATGGTAGGCCGGGATACATAGTAGATCCACCAGACAAAACAATGTGCTTGTAGAGCTCAGGTCGAATGTCAATATCACAGCGCTGTATGGTGTCGAAGAGGAGTTCTGCAATGCCTTGGCCTTCTACGTTAATGAGGTGAGGCTGGAACAGGGCTTCTGGGGCTTCAAACCTCTCACCACCAACCTTCAGGTAAAATAAAATATGCATTAACAACTCTACAATTTTTTTTAGTGAGGGCAAGTGCAAGTATAATTGTGTGTGAATATAAGAGTCTCAAGAGTGTTTTGTGTGTATGTAAAACTGCATAAATAAGCAGTCTCAGCAACAATATAAATCCACCTCCAACCCATCAAATTTTTAAAAATGCTCTACTAATAAAATTTAACACAATATTCTAAACTAACCTTAATGATACGACCATCTGGCAGCTGGTAATTCTCTACTAAGACAGTAGTTTCTGTTGCAAGTTTCTGCTCTTGTTCAATGTTGTAGCCAACATAACACAGTTTCTCCTTCATCATTCTCACTGTCTCAAAGTCTGCTGAGTGGTTGAACGCATACCCTCTCAGCAACAGCAACTTGATCATGTATACGGTGATATCGCGACCGGCAATGTCTAATCGCCTGTGGGTGGTCAAGAATTCAAGTGACAATAGGCAACCAAACATGACCTTGGTGTTATACTCAACTGTCAAAATTTCCAACACTAGTCTTCTTGATCACACTAAGAATTGCAAACAAATTATAATCAGACAAGATAGACTGTTAAAAAAAGACAAAACCTAAAAAAAAAGCCACTTCCTACCTAATTTGTGGGAGTGTGAATCCTTCATACACGGGGCAGATGTGGGTAACACCATCACCGGAGTCCACCACAACACCTGACTGAAGACCTTGTGCATACAGGGTCAACACAGCTTGGATAGCCACAAAGGCTCCTGCAAACCCGTACTTCTCGAACATTACCTGATAGAAAAAAAAAAAAAGAAGATAATATATGTATAAGAATTTGTATACTATATATATATATATATATATATATATATATATATATATATATATATATATATATATATATATATATATATATATATAATATATATATATATATATATATTATATATTAATAAATATTATAATATATAATATAATATATATTATATATATATATATATATATATATATATATATATATATATATATATATATATATATATATATATATATATATATATATATATATATATAATATATATATATATATATATATATATATATATATATATATATATA